CTATGAATGCAGTTTTATTTCTTTTAAAAAATAAAGGAATGTTTCCTATAAGTAAAAATTTCTATCTCCAGTATTTAGAGTACTTTCCCTCCAGGTGGCATTACAAATTTCAAACCTGTATATAAACTAATGTAATTTTATACATCTATGTACGAGGGCGGTATGATAAATCCGTTACTTTGTGAAGAAAAAAGTAAAAAAAAATATGATTTATTTTCTACGTAATTTCCTTTTAACTCTATAAACCTAGAGTAGCGATATTCCAACTTCTTCAACACATCAAAAAATTTTTTTTCACCTCACTAGCTCGGAAAGGCTTTCTTTCTCCTTAGAAAATATCGCACAAAATTTTGCACGCTAGCGTGGAAAAAGTTTTTGAAATTCGAACTTGACGATGGACTGGAAAAAAATAATGACACGTTCAGATAAGTCATACATTACTTATTTATGTAATATAAATCCGTTAGTATATTTCATTCTTATTATTGTTGACATTAAATTGACAATGATAACTAATTGTGTTTGTTATTTTAATTCGTTGATGAACTAAAATAATTTAAATAATCACTTAATTACACAAAAGAATAAAAATTGATGAGGTGTATTATGTATTAGTATTATTTGTATTCAGAACGCATACGAAGATAACATTTGTCTTATAATTTATAAAACTGATATTTTATAGTTCAATTGTTTTTCTTTCATCTACCATTTTCCTCGCTATAGTGAGGTGAAAAGTTGTGTGTTTTGCTCGGCAGCAAAGTTGTTTTGCGTCTCGTGGCTTGAAACACTCGCTATGCTCAGGAATCTATCTTTGTTTCCTTCGCTTGCTCAGGTTTCAATTCAAGCACTCGCGTCAAACAACAGCTTTGCAACCTTGCACAACAAATAACTATTGTCAAACTATGATCTTACGCAACGATCTTATATTCAAAATGAAATTTAAGTCTCTGTTTCAGCTATCACTTCCACATTTGATGAAAATTGATAAAAAAATGTGATAAAAAAAAAAGTCAAATGGGGCCAAATCTGGTGAATACGGAGGTGCTGCAATAATTCGACAAGTTTTGATTTCAGATGAGAAACGGAATACTCGAAATTCCGTTTTCTCCATCTTCAAAACTTTACATATCTTATTTTCACGCTAATGTGAAAAAAGTTACATCAGTTGTTTATAGTAAGGAGTTTTATATAAAGAAATAAAAATAAATTGCGAAAAAAGTTATTAAGCCTTAAACTCACACATTTATCAAACCGCCCTCGTATTACTTACTTCGCTGGCTCTGCGACTCAAAGTGGACCTTGGCCCCCGACATCAAAGTACGTCAATTCCGTTCATTCGCTTCTTCAGATCTTTGGCGACTCCATCCTTCCTGCGATATCTTGGACGGCCCACTGGACAATGACCCATAGGTGCCCCAAATACGCTCTTTTGGCAGCTCAACCTCTCCCATACTTCCCACATGCCCTAGCCATCGAAATCGGGTGGATTTTATCTACCTGCTCATGTTCGGCTCATAAACTAGCTCGTCTATATCTCTATTGAATCTGGCCCTCCAGTTCCCAAATTCTGCTTTGATTGGTAGAATCTTTCAAAATATATTTCGTTCCGCCACTAATAATTTAGGTTCTCCCGTGTATGTATTAATTGTACGTATGTATTAAATACGCTACTGGTACGATAATACTGAACGCTAGGACTTTGTCAATGTCAAGAATAATAAATTTAAACTAAGATACACTAATTTCAGGCAAGTGAAGTTCTAGGGCGCACTTTAGTTGTGATGCTATGGCAGCGGTGCGGAGGTTTCGAACACAACCTCGCTTTAGGCGGCGCTGAAATCTGGCTTGACAAACTGACTCTACCGCAGCGCACGTACGGCTGGTACCCGCTGTTCCCTGCGACTTCACTCGCCGAGCCTTCCGACTCGCCCGACTGATCCAGAGAGCCGTCGCCGGAGCGCCGCAATGACTAGGCCTCCCGACGGCTCTCAAAAACAACAATATTGATATTGTCTTTGTTAGCACATGTGGCGAACGTAGTAGCCGAGGCCGTCATGATTTTGTATCACATGATATAATAAAGCAATAAAATAAATATCTTTACACATTGATGGAACAATATCGCAATAATATTATCATAGATACAATGGCACAAACTGCATATTACTGATTCTGTTAATTGGCACAAGGTTTGATTTACCATGGAAACCCAGTTTTGCAATGAGATTAACGATTCGTGTTACATAACCACCACAACGATTGTGATCTAAAACTAAGTTAACCAATAATACCATCGAACTTCCTAACGTAGTGGTTTCAGTGTTATGCGGTTATTGTGCAAAATATGATGGACTCTGTTCATTACGGTGTGTAACGCTGCGCCCACATTTATTCTAATCTCGTCCATAACGCTGCCCTTGTTGTGAACATTACGCAAGCAGGCTTTATAATTTCCCTGCCGGGATATAATGTGTCGTGTACATAACATATTTAACGTGTATTTAAATTTTATTAATGTAGAGTCCTTGCAACCACGATAACATTATTTTATGTTTTGCTCTATTATACCTATTATTTATATATAATTACTAATGTAATCAATGTATAACTAAGCATTTTAATGTCATTGATTGTTTAAAGCCTCATTTAGGATATTTGAAATAAAGTGGTCTTTTGGGCGGACCCAAGTGCATCACTTAGAAAGTAGTATCCACGAAAAGGAGCTTGTTTCAATTTTCAATTTATATAACAAAAAGCGCAAATATTTGACGTCAGTCTTTTCAATGGCTTATACAAATTCTTGCAATTGACTTTAAGACTACAGTATTTTTTAAATTGCTACATAAGATCATTGAAACAAAGAAATTTATTCAACATTGCTACAGGATAACAACAAAACTTTAATATAAAATAAATGTATATGGTAAACAACTTTGATATGGAACGATGTCATACATTTGCGCTTCACTAATAAAAGATATGTAGTGTTATTTTATAAGTCATTTATGTAATATAAACAACGTAAATTACAAGTCATTTGCGGAAATGTTTCATATAGTCTTCATATAAAATGATAAAACGATCAACGTAGCAAAAAATACATAAAAATTATTTTAGTAGCACAAGAACCTCACGCTAATACTTGTTACCAAACTCGCAAAACACGCGTCTTTCACTAACTCTTAATATACCGGCTATAATAGATGTACGATTCACGCTACTTGAATTATAGAGCACGTCGTAGATACTTGTTACCAACGCCCCTTTATATCAATACACCGGCCATACTTGTGTACTTAACTTGACTTCCTTGTAGATATACTTAGATTTCAAATATATATAAGTTGTAATTCTATATGTACACTTTTTAAACCGGCACTATAAAATAACATGTAATATAAATAATATTCCCATCTCAGATAACCCCAACTTCGACACTTTGCCTTATACGATTAATGAAATTTCTAAAGTTATTCTAGTAAGTAAGCGCGTCTAGATACTATTCTTCCAAGGTTGTGCTTTAGTGAATTTCCCTAACGTATACTTACAACTTGGTTTATTATTACGAACTTGCTATTCTACAAAATCTCTTTATGAGCTTCGTTTTTTGTGTCAAATGTTTACAAATCTATACGTACGTCTTTACAAACGTTGTTTTCCTAAAATGTCTACGTACAGCTATTTTCGTAATAGTGTAAAATTTAGAATCAATCTTTTATATAGCCTCTAGATCGAGTCGAACGTACACAACCCTGACAAATACATATTAATCTCTTAAGATATAGCCAAAGTAAGTAGATATTTCGATCTTTACATTTAGTAGGACTCTTCCAAATTACGAAATTTCAAATACAATCACGTCATTGATGTACATTAAATTTAAGTAGAGACAAGTTTTTACTCTTTTAGATATCTCATAGAGCTGAGCAAAACGTGTTGCGACCAGGCAACAAACAGAACTCCTCATCGGACATGCTACAGGCCTAGATCCTTCACTTAGACGTACAATTTTGTATGTAGATTAAACTTATTAGTGAAAAGTATATTTTCATTGTCAGTTACTCGATGTTAGATACGAAGTACATAATATACAATTTTTAATATAATACTCCATGTCGAAATTGTGTTCTTCCTGTGCTATCGTAGCTTAGTGTCTCGCCTGACAATATCTTACAAGTTTATTCGTACAAAGCGACGACGACTTCTGTTACAAAACGGCCGATGCACTCACGCCGCGCGTAACGCACTTTTATATATAAATACATCGTCGCATACTCGGCTATGCAAAAAGCTATACAAACTATCACTTTTTGAAACCCTCTTTTATCGACCTAAGGTACAATTTTCAACAAAGAATTTTGACAGTTTGTATAACTCCAGCAGAGACGTGGTCATTAACGTGGTTGTACATTTCTAAAGAGAGAGAAACTTAACAAATACTTCCCTATTGAATTAGATATACTAAGATACTTACTGACATTTGTTACAAATGCCTAAATATTTATTTTTACACTATAATTTTCTATTCAGTAAAACTTTAAATTATTTATACTAGGTAATCAATATTATATCTGAATAAAAAGCTGTGGACAAAGTAAACATATTTATTTAACGAATATATCAATGAAAATTAGATATTTAAATAAATGATTTATTATCTATTTCGACGAGACGTTGGAATAGATAGAATCAACTTACGCTTACTATCTCGATATATTAGTGTAAACAAAGTAATATAGTAAGAGCCATGTGTAAAATCATATTATCTATAACGTATGTGCCTCGACTAAACCCGATACCAGTTATTTTCACATACATATCTGAGTAGTTGTTTCGAGTCGAGATGGTCGTACCTACGTACTGTAACTGTCTATGCAAAGCGTGAATGAATTCGTGTGATATGGTATCGGATATCATATTTACCTATCTTTCATACTTTATAGTGTTGTATTGTTTCTTCTAGATACAAAAAAGGATCAGCACGAAGTTCCGTTTTCTTGATAAACCCTGAGAAATATTTAGTTTTAATATATGTATCATTTAATACCTACATATTATTGCATCTACAACTCTTCCTCCTTATCATAACTATTAGTAGCAGTAGAGCTCCCTCTGAAAGGGTTCGTCCAGGGAAGTACTGCCACCTTATCTATTTCTGCCGCCAAGCAATAATGTGAATATTACTGCGTTCCGGTTTTGAAGGGTACGGGTGCTGGTGAAATTACAGGCACATGGGACTTGTCAACTTATGTCTCAGGGTTGCGGGCGCAGCGGCAGTGTCCTTCAGATCTTTGTAATTTAAAGCTCCGAGTGGCACTACAACTGTTAGGGACAGGCGTGTCCACCAGACACACGACTTGTTCGTCACATCACTTAGTAGTATAAAAAATAAAAAAATAACTAACGTAATCGAATTTTTTAACGAAATATAGTAATTAACATATCTGGGATCATCGAAACGAGATCTATAGCCCCCTCTAATTGGTTATTTTTTTTTGTATCTTATTTAGTTTCAGTTTTATTGTTAAGCAAATTCAGCGGTATTGACTTTTTTTATTAGCAAAACAAAAAAAGTTTACGTGTCAATATCTCAAAAGTTACTGAGATGCAAGTGCGTTAGTTATGGCAAGGAGGGCAGCTCACATTTGCAATATCGTATTATTTTGTGTTCGTTTTTATTTTGAACGACACTTTTTCGAAATTTTACAAACACCTATCGGGTTTTTTTATTTCATTCCATTATTGTCATTTAAACTAAGCTCAGTGTTCATCAAGAATTCAGAGTAGAACTCTACAAATCCTAGTACGTAACAAATATGTGTGTCAAAATATATAATTATTAAATAAATGTGATAACAAAGGAGTTTATTATAGCGATATAAAGATTAATAATGTGTTTTATTTCAACAAACTTCGTTGAACAACCTCGTTCGTAATTAAGGCTACCAGCGCAAAAGTGGTGTAATCTACAATGTTTTTTCTACAATATTACTTTAAATGATACTAAAGTACATAATTATTCTAAATTTAGATGCTATTGTATAAAAAATAATATTATAATATTCATGAAAATAGCATCCAAATATAAAAATAATGTGCCTCAGTTCATTTAAAGTAATATTGTAGAAAAAGAAAGAAATTTAGATATACACCACTTTTGCGCTGATAGCATCAATTATATTAAAATTTAATTTTTAATTAACATATTCATGTGAATTCAAACAAACGAATGCACTATAAATTAAAACAAAATGAAAAGTCAATTAAATACTTAATAGTGTAATCTACGTACATCAGATAAAATGATTTACATCACTTCCAAACGTTACAGAGAAAACAAGATTGCATTTATAAGTACAATAAGCCCTCAAAGTTTCAGCAAAGTATAAATAGTACAGCTTTCCTTATATATGTGAATAATCCGCCGGGCCGCACCAGAAGGTTATATGATTTAATAAAGCGGCCACTGTTCCCCCGTTGCGACTCGCGTTCACCGCACGTGACCACCACTCGCGATTTGCACAACGACCTAAAACGTACACGAGCCTTAATAATAGAACCATTGAATCCTTAATTTCGCATGAACAAATATTGAAGAAGCCGTGGTAGCCTAATGGTTTCGCCTACTGCCTCTCAAGCAGAGGGTCGAGGGTTCGAATTCGGGCTCGCATCTCTGAGTTTCTCGGAATTTATGCGAAATTTAATTTGAAATTTGCCATGAGGTTTTCGGTGAAGGAAAACATCGTGATGAAACCTGCACGTTGGGCCAGCGTGGCGAACTATGGCCTAAACCCTTGTCTGAAAGGAGACCCGTGCCCAGCAGGGGTACATATAAATGGGTTGATGATGACGACGAAAAACTGAATCATATGTTAAACATCATTTGTATGTCCTTTTAACACTAGCAGACCTGAAATACTGGCCTTCAAGTTTATATCCTGGTTACGGCACTTAATCAAAAATAATGCCGACTGTTACTTGACAACATACAAAAATACCTTTTTTTACGGTTTGCACTGTGGGTGCTGCTCACCCAAGGCAGCTTTTGAGCACCGGGTGAATTCTGTGTAAACGGGCTAATCTGGGGTCAGGACCTGACTGATAAAGTCTCTGTGCGAGCTGGCTTGCACAGGTAGATAATAATAATAACGCACACACTCAACATAGCCCCGCACTAGGGAAACCCTGTGTCGCGGGTGCCATGGACACATACATAGACAACCACAAATTACACCCAAACTCACGAGAGAAATAAATGTAGGCCATACAAATATTTCTCCCGGCCCGGGAATCGAACCCGGGGACCTCTGCGTGGCAGTCCGGTATGGTAACCGTTCGGCCACAGAGGCAGTTAAAGATAGTAGTGCCCTTCCCGTATAACCAATAAGGTTTGGTTGGTAAGGCTGTGGGTGCCGTATGAAGATGTCCCAGATTCGATACTCAATAGGGCCAATTTGGAAAATGAACTTTCCTAAATTGGTTCTGAGGCAATTGGGTCCCCGAGCCACCATCCGAGACACTCAGAAGAGTGTCCCGGATAGTGCCCCCAAGTGAATTCCATGGGAGTTCCTCAATATGAAATCAGCTAATTGGTGTGGTTGGCATATTATTATTATCATTCGTACATTTTACTCGATTATTCGTAGGCCTCGATTCAAAAAACTACGATATATGATAGTATTAAAAGCTTTTTTTGAAATTGAAAACTACCGCGTGACTCAGACATATTAACTAATCTCACATATTTAAGTCGATTTTTTGCTCGGCATGTTTCGAACCAGTCCGTGATCCTTAATCATGACATACCGAGGCAGTAACTCGACGGAAACTGCGCACCAAAGCCCTGACAAACCTGTCACTAAGTACGGGTGCGAGCGCAGGCGGCGGTGGCGTGCAACTACCTTCGTTTGCTTCATTCTTATTAAAGTCATACCACGTAGTAAAATAAGATAAATATGGTAACTATACATAGTAACAACGTGGCTTGAATATGTGCGCGACCACCTCGCGCCGTGTACGAACACACACATTCGCATAATAATGAAAGGCGATCTGGGGCGACCAGTGTTATGCAACGCGCGTGCATCGCGAGATTGTGCGCATGTGTGTATCCGTATACGACGTGCGGCGATGCGCACACTTACAAGCCTACAAGCTACGTTTGTATGGAGTTACCATATTTGTCCTGTCTTGTACTATAGTATTGTTATATGCAGGATTGCACAATACCCTAGCAACGTCACTTTGTAAAGTCTCGTCCACACTAACCACTGACGAAGGCCCTATATTAAGGACCACGGACTGGTTCGAAAACATATCCGTTAGCTTACTCGTAGTATTTAAATAACAAAGCACTTAAGAGTCTATACTACATCAAATTGCTTTGGTTAATTGAGCGTAACCGTGAAGTGAAGTGTTGAATAAGTCACTTTGGACAAAATATATAGTAAAATTGATGATATGCACTGATTAGGTACTGTATGGTGTGAAAACACGATTCTTAAAAATTTTCACGATAGAAAAAACACAAACTTACCTGCAAATTGTACAACAAAACCACTATATTCAATAGATACTTTACAAATTAATATACCAATGATTGTTTTATATCAACTGAAGTAAATAGAACACGTATACTATACTATATACATTTTTCAAACGGCTTTAATTTCATTTGTAAAAAAATAAAATCTGAAATAAAGACAGTGTCCCTGCCGCTCGACGCAAGCGAAATGAACCGTATTAGTATGGGAAAAATTTGATTTAAACTTAAGGTAGTATAGACTCTTAAATAAAAAAGCTTACCGTTTGTAAAAGTGACAAGTCGCGAACCAAGTGGAAATCCGGTAAGTACACAACATGCTTCTTCTGCACCTACGCTCGAACTATATAAGCTGCGAGTATCTACCGGCAACGTCTGTAGAAAGAGATATATTTTATTCAAAACTTTAGAGTGGACCTTAGGATGTCAACTAGACACATCACTTCCGCAGCACTAGGGAGTGTGAATAATTTTGTAATTATAATATAGTAAGTAATTAATATTATCGTGTTTTACCACCACGATATTCATGTTTTATAAGTACACAGATCGAACACAAAGAAAACTTCCTTCGATCTGATTACACCCACACTCATGAGAGAAATAAATGTAGGCCATACAAATATTTCCCCCGTACCGGGAATCGAACCCAACAATGGCCCGGAAATTTTTATTATTTGCCATTTTTCTCTTGAGTGATAAGGTTGTGTGTTATTAATGCAATTCTACAACTTGGGTTGGCAGCTATTACAATAGCTCTTGATGATGAAGTATTGGAAACACAAATTGAAACTAGAAAAAAAAGATGGTATGTACATCCTGGCTGGAGAAAACGAGAAACCAAAGGAGAATTTGTCACGCTCTTTAAAGATTTAAAACATGATGAGAGCATTTTGCGCTTGCACTGTCCACTACACTATAGTCCAACGTTGACTAGCCTCTGGGTGCCCGGCGAATGCATTCATATTACGACGTGTCGCGATCGGGCCGGGTTGGAACCGGGAAAAAATACTCGACGCCGTGCCCAGATCGTGTCTCGGCTGTGACACTGACTCGGCCTGGTCTATCGTGTAGTTCATACAAAAGCATATATAGATATCTGACCGTGGCACGGCCGGCGCACGAACGGAGCACGGCCCGGCCCCGGCACGGTGTAACATGAATCAACCTTTAACGTTATACGTAAGTAGAAGATTAAAATTTCCATATTTGACAATAATATAAAAATATCACCACGTACTTGTTCAACTGCTTGATCCATGGACACAGAAAGCACCCACTCACGAATCTCTTCTAGAGCACTACCTTTCAGACACGCACTATCCAACAGGAGAGGCGTGCGCGACCAGTCTGTACATTCTACGAATTAAATAAAAATAAAAGTTGTTAGTGTTAATTTTTATTATTTTATCTATAATTATATTCATAAACAAGTGATCGCAGTTGCAAGTAGAAAAATGTAATTTTTATGGTTAAAATATGTGCGCATTTGACCTCCATCTCCTCATGATGGAAATTGACGATGATGTCGACAATGGAGCATGCACACCTATACCTATAAAGCCTATTTATTCACTCTCGCCTTGAAAAGATCCAAGTTATAGCATTCAAGGATTAAATCTGCAGGCGAGAAATTCCACCATTCCATACGTCATATATATGAGGAAGCATAAGAGCGTTTGCGCACTACGTCCGATTCGTATCAGTTCCGACTCCGAAAAATGAAGGCCGAAATTTCCAGTAGTTTCCAAAGTGTCATTTTATTTCTAGGTGCACAAGCGATATTTCTAGGATTTTAATGGAACTCAGTCCGAATTTTCTACATTTGTATAGTCTCGGATTCGGAACGAATACGAATCCAATACAGTGCGCAAAACGCGCTAGCGCTTCGTGCGAACCTTGGATATATCCACAACATAAGGGTGAAACCATAGTTTACATCTAGTCCCTCGTGACAGAAAGGGGATGGCGGAATGATTTTATAATAAGGAAGCTGCAAAAAAAAAGCAAATATACGCAATTTACATTCGAAAAAATAGTTTCATTTCTGATTATATGGCTGAATAATTTAGTGACACATTGTTGAATTATATAGGGGTTTTCAATAAGAACATACCAATTTTGTATTTCAATAAAATACAGAATAATGAGATATCGAGCTGAAATTTATTCCAGGTGCAGTACACCATGTTACATTTAAGAATGGAATTCGATTCTGTTCATATGAACGCCGCGAGCACGTTTGCAGCGTTCAATTCTTTGGAGCCAATTTTCCACCACTCTTCCTCACATATCGGACGAAGTGTTGGCAATTTCGCGTTTGATATTGGTTCCTGAGCTCATACAACGTTGTTGGCTTGTTGGCATAAACCAACGACTAATGACAACGACTAACGTAACGCCATAAAAACTAATCCAACGGCGTTAGATCGCATGAGGGAGGTGGCATTTCGACCAGACCATTTTGCGAGATTAAACGACTATCCAACTTCCTCTTTATTAGATCGATTGTTTGACTAACTACAAACGTGTTCGCGGTGGTCGTATGAACGAGATTGAATTCCATTTTTAAATGTAACATGTGTACTGCACTTGGAATAAATTTCAGCTCGAAGTCTCAATTCGTACAACCATATGGATTATTATGGGCGGAGGCTAAATAAACATGTAGAACCTCGTATATATAATGATCTGGGGTTCTTAAGAAAAAGTTTTACAATTAAAAAGTCCTACATAAAGAACGCTCTATTTAATGAAATTCCAATTTGACAAAAAAAATAAAGTTTGAAAAAAATATTTTGTTGCTGTAAGGATATTTGTATTTGTATTGTTATTCTTGTTTTGTTTAATAATTAAGTCTGACCTACATGAGAAGTACATTCTCACTGCTAGGTACTTAGTTAATCATTAATTAGGTAGATCTATAATTGAGTAAGAGCGTGCTCGCCAATAAACTGTTTCCAGTTTGGCGGGAGATAGACTGACTGTAAAATGTACACTTTTTGAAAAATAAATAAATAAAAAAGATCTGTCTTATTGAAATACAAAATTATTATGTTCTTATTGAAAAATCCGATACAACATTAGATTTATTTTAGCAGTAAATTATGCTACTGATGCGAGCTTACCGAAATCAGTAAAGTCAAGCAAATGCGCGGAGTCGTCGTCTGCCGCCTCGGCTAGATCGAGACTCCTGTTCAGTAATACAAAAGCTTCGCGGACACCTGAGCTGCCTTCTGCGCGTACCGCCACACCACATGCGTAATATACTGTAGACAACCACTACTTGTTAGGAGCATTGTTTACCAAACCTTAGATAAGTAATATACAAACAGCCAATAGGAGACCGTATGTTGGTGATGTGATATTAAAACGTAAACTAATCCGTGCAATTTTTTTTTAATGATTTATTATATAATTATATTAATGTCTATTTATTTATTAAAGGACATCATTAGTATACAATAAAAGTAAATTAAATTCAATACAGAATAAGTGTACCTATATGCATGTAACATTTGTGACAAATATTGCTTTTTTTGTAAAATTTTAAAAGAACAACAATTTATAATTTAAATGGTCATGATAAAAAAAACAAAAACATAAGTAATAATTATTTATGATTACATAGGTAACAGGTTAAGGTGGACAAATTACTCCACTTTCGTCGCTTAAATGAATGTTTAGTATGTGCAAAGATGTGAATTAAAAACACAGAATTTGGTAGGTAGTTATGCACCAGGGGACTATCCCCGCACCACACAAGTGAGAATGTAGAGATAGTCAGTCATAACAACGCAAAATACATCTCAATGTATTTGCAGTTTGGGCAATGCAGGCAGTTTAGGCTGCAGCTTGGAATGGAAAATGTTCCTGTTCACATGTTAGATCATTCATGCAGTACGGTAGTTGGGATGACATCTACTTAGGGACGTATGGTGAAACAGGAACAGTACCCGAGGCAGTGACCTACTAAAGATATGACGTCGCTTCAACATATTACATTGTGGTGCATGCTTCGCTTTGATAAAGCAAAAGGAAATGATACCTATTAAATGACAGGCCTCCAATACTACCGGATCTCGAGTTAAGTTCTAGTTTTATTTAAATTCGTTATATAGCTTCTTTCGCTTCCAAAAATAAGACTAGATGGCATAAACATTGTTTGAAATATTTTTAAACATAGTACTTTTTGGACCAAGCAGTAACAAAGTCATGTGGTAACCGTAGGTCGTCCTTCAAAGACCGATCGACAACTGGTGAACATCTTGTGTAACTGAGCTTTTACGAAATACTTTCAATTTGCATCGACGTCAGTACGCGAATGTTCTCTGCCTTGTAAGCCTCTGCACTGTGTCTTTTACCAATCTGTAGAGCAGGGATGCTTTACGGTAGCAATAAGAACTATATTAGTACCTACCTACGAGGTGTCTGCACAACTAACTACCATAAAAACCACATTTCAAAAAAAATGTCCTAAAAGTTCGTAGTTGGAACTCAAGTGTCTCTTGTTTATATTATATTTCTAGTCCGCTCTGTTACTCCACCATTCGGTAAAATTTTGAGATATGAAAAAAAATTCGCAGAATTACACACACACAATCATAACGTACACACTTAGTCCGTTAGTAGGAAAGCTCGGTATTGCGTGTGCCATGGACACATAACGTCGGCTAAATTCTTAAATCTCGTAACATCCATTAATGTACAAAAAATGAATTTCTATTTAAAAAATTGATTAGGCTATTTCATAACTTAGAAGGGTCTACAAATTTTATTTTAAGCCTTAATTGTCCGATATTGCGCCCGCAGAGAAAAAAAGTGATGTCGTCCAGAAGCGGAGTTACGATGTTTTCAAATTTAGTCGATGAAACAACCACAAATACACCCAACCTCACGAGAAAAATAAATGTAGGCCATACAAATATTTCTCCCGGCTCGGAAATCTAACCCGGGACCTCTGCGTGAAAAATCAGCATGGTCACCGTTCGACCACGGAGGTAAAGCAACCTGAAATTTCCCTCTTCCCTTCACTCACGCTGCCTTATACCTAACGAGCGCACTAGCTTATGCAGTCACAATACAATACATATAAAGCGTCTGCGCCCCAAAATAATAGGTACTATGTTTGTAAAATAGAAACAAACAAGTATAAACAAGTACAAACCTATTACTTTGGGGTACAAAGCCGTCTGTACAAGTTCCCAAAATGTATTTCGGCTTAAAATTGTCACGTTTTTAGAATGCATCCGTTTATAGTACCGGCACGCTATCATGGCCGTTTCGACGTTTGTCCGCTCATCAAGTTTCGTATTCATTCATAAATAACTACGTTGAAGGAGCTTATTACTGTACATTGTTGTCAATAGTGACGTGCAGTAAAATTTATGGAATGTATTATTTTAGGACACAACTCGGCATTTGTTTTCCGAAATTCGAGATTTTTAAAAGAGGAATCTAATACGATCGTCCCTTACGAGATCGCTGGCCAGCACAACTTCCACTTCCGGCAAACTCGCATCAAAACTCAATGCAAACAAAGCGAATTGACGTTATATTAAGTAAACATTTTTATTTTTGTTTTATTAAAACTTTTTAATCAGCTACCCCTTGCAACACTAGTTATAAATCTAAAAACTTATAGATGCGACTCGCATTTGATTAAACTTTTTTCGATAATGACTTGAGATTTGACCTCACTATTGTAATCTGTCAAAACGGCTATCATATCGTGCCGGTACTGTAATGAATATTTGGTCTTGCTTTTTTGTTATGTTATGTTGACTAATCTCGCCATTGAACTTGACTTATTGTACATTAAATTAATTTAAAAATAGTACTACTCACCGATGTCAGCAACTGTGATATCGGTGTATCGTGGTAGAGCCCGTGCCGCTCTGGTCGCTATTTGTGGGACATGTAGAGCCATTAATAGAGTGATAGCCTGAAAAAACAAATAATGTAAAACGAAGATACAAATACAAATTGTCAGATCTTGTTCTCATGCTTGTAGTCTATGTCGCACTATTGGTGAAATAAGGCCACATCTGCAAAAAGACAACTTTTTACGAGAGCGATTTAAAGATTCTAGGAATGAAATTAGTCGATAACATCTTTATGCATAACTAGGAGAGTTACAAAATTTCACATATCT